TACAATTAAAAAAAAAACGTCTATAAACGTAGACGCACCCATGACACAGGGGAAAATCCTAGTGTGGGGCAAAAAAGAATCACAACTAAATTGTGTTCCAAATAAACAAATTAACAGTATAGTAATAACGGTCTAACAAAACAACAGTTTACATACATACATTATGTAATCACTCATCATTATTATTTACCACAAACATAACATAATTTTCCCACAAAACCGAAACTTTAATGTACTAATTCACATAATCACCTAACATTACATTTTCAAATAGTACTCATGCCAGACCACATTTTATACATGTTAATATTTTAGCTCTAAATACCTATATTCAAATAATTAAGAATGTTTTTAGGTAAAAAAATTATTACATTCATTTTAGTATACAACATAACATCACGCCTTATACCTCCGAAGGGGTAGGCAGAGGTGCACATGCCACTGTACAATGTAACACCTACTTTTCACTATTTATGTTATGAGTCCCATGTAATAGGGGGTGAGCCTATTGCCATATACTGGGCACAATTCCAGACTCTGTGCTACTACTGTGAATTTTTTTGAAGAATCCAGTAATACTTTGCCAGTCCCGGGAATCGAACCCGAAACCCCTTGCCCGGCAGTCGCACTTGCGACCACTCGGCCAACGAGGCAGTCGTATTTTACAGTACAGTATTTTAGTATGTAGTACTTGATTAACAAGGTATTTCATGATTATGGGCTCCTGGCGTGGCTTGAAACTGGTCGGCTTAGCTCGAATGCTAACGTGTGTAAGCGGTAAAAGATGTTTGTTGAATTCAATACATACTATGATTCATGAAAGTTCTGTAGTCAATTGTTAGGCTACATAGTTAGTTCAGTGACTTGGCAACTGGCTGCTTAGCAACGTATCGTATGTTCGACTCCCAGAACAGGTATAGAATAAAATGCTTTTTTGTGATTCACAAATTGCTGTTCTGGGTCTAGTTGTGATATCAAATGAAAATCCCAGCGTTTTTTTTTAAAGGGAGTAAATCATCGAGTGACTTCTCCCGCCTGGGTGAGGCGGGAGGGAGTATCAGACTCTTACTGACTAAAAACCACCCCGTTCCTTCTCCTGCACGTCGAGCCGGAGCCCCGGTTACCCGTTAGGTTCTCCGCGACAAAAAATCCTGGAATAGGGCAACCTTTTATCTAACCAAATAAAATAAAGTTAAAATGTATACTTAAACAAAATTATTTGCTAGCACATTCTCATTGAAGCTATGTGACAGACATATTGGGTGGAGAAAATGCAAATTCTTTTCATTGAACATGAACGTATTGAGCACACGGCACAAGCTATACACAACCAGTTTAACATGTTCTCGTTTTATATAATCTTTCCGCGTATTCAAAGATCAGTTTATACTGGTTTTTATAGCTTGGTGTATTACGCATAACTGGCTGAAAACCGTACATTAATATATTGTATGCAGTCTGTACCAGAGAGGGTGAAACGAACATGTCATTTGAAGACGAATATTTTACATCAGCTTTTTATTTTGTGATTGAAAAGGAATTTCGTGTTATTAAATGGTGTTTTTACTCTTTTGTTTGGAGTTAATAGTACTGGCTGCATGTGTAGTGAATAACGAATGTGGAGTAATTATCTGTGGTATTATTTTGTTTACAATGTCGCTGTGTAGATGTGGTAATTAACACCATACATGTCCCCACTGACTTGTGTTGGGATGGATAACAACAATGAGTTGAAAAATGTTTAATACATACCAATGTTATGTTTAAAATATTTTTTTTTTGTAATAACTATCGTCAGTCATACTAAATTAACTAAAAATCGCGGGTTACTCACGCATAGTCACTCAGTCGTGTATCGCCGCGACCGCGCACGCTACTCATGAGGAAGAACCCCTCTGTGGTTCGAAACTAGTAGAGTTTTTCTCAGTATATTCACGTGAGTAACCCATGATTTTTAGTTAATGAAATAATTTTACTAAGATACTACAACCATAATACACCATTATATCAGGATCCCTATAATATACATAATTACTATAATACAATAATTTGACTAAGATAGTACAACGATGATAATACACCACAAAAACTCACACACACAAATCCAAAGCATATACCTTCACCCCAATCTATGCCTTCCTCTCAGCTTCAACCCATTTTCACGCACCGTTGAATTATCCTTTATCATCAAACATTTCATCGATTCGATCCGATTCACAATCAATGCCAGTTGCCACAAACCTCAAATCAGTGGCAACCACATTTCATTCGTCTGTTTTATTAATACTAAACACGACGATATATTTCCTACCTTCCAAGGGTAGTTTTGGTGTAGATATTAAGGCGTGTCTAGAATGCTATTTTATATTGTATCTATCTTTGTATTTCAGAAATTGTAGAGGCCTAACCATTATAACAGTGCCTTTATGCAGTTATTGGTAGAATAAGAAGTCATCATCATCAACAGCCTATAAATGCCCACTACTGAGCAAAGCCTCTTCTCACACGGAGAAGGTTTGAGCATTAATCACCACGCTTACTCAATGCGGGTTGGCGATCACAAACTTATAATTAGAAATTATAAGCCCAGGTTTCCTCACGATGTTTTCCTTCAACGTTTGTCAGTGGTGTCTATATATATAATCTTAGAAAGTACATATAACTCTGAAAAAATCACATTGGTACTTGCCGTAGGAAGGTTTCGAACCCGCACCCTCATGCATGAGAAGCGGGCGTCTTAAACCTCCGGGCCACCACGACCAAAGAATAAGAAATATAAAAATAGATTCAATTATGTCGTTAGTTTTCGTGGATCACTGAGCAGTTGGCTATTAGATCAAGATGTTTTTTGTAGCTGCAGCTGAGATTATTAATTAAAAACTGCTACGGAACAATCTTAAATTATGGACTTCTTTGACATCAGAGGGTTTGCCGTAATGACCACGTCTGATAGGTTGGATCACAGTTTAAAAGAATCAGTTTCAGGAGAAAGCATTCTTACTTGTACTTGGTGTAGTGTCCCAGTCGGCTTTTATCACACATCATATTCACAGGAGGAGTAGCGATAGTGTTGAGAAATGAGTTCTATAATAAGTGTTAATTTTATATTATTCTCCAAATACAATCTGAACGTACCTTTACAGGCAAACGTTATCGATGTTATTACGCTAGTGACTTGTGAATTCGATACGAAAATACTAGTTATTTGAGAGCTGAACACGAGATATTTCCGAGGAAAACTCGTATTGGTAGCGTGCTTTACTTCTCCTATATATCGCAGTCCAAATTGTACTGCGATCGTGATATGTTTGAACTTGTATTACTAGGTTTCTTTTATTTCAATTTGATATCACTGGAAAGGTTTTTTAGCAGATGGTTGGTGTTTGTTTGGTTTGGTTTGCAATGACACTAATGACACCTTTATGCGATGTGAGTGACCTTTTCTACTCAGATTATAAATACTTTACTTTCTTTCTTTAAACAAAAACGATACCCCACACTCGGATTTTCTCCAGTGTGGGGTATTCAGGGGGATTTCAGTTCTGGGTGTCATTGTGTGTGGACTTGTATGTTTGTAAACGGACCCAGGACACAGGAGAAAATCCTAATGTGGAGCAACGTCGCGGAGAACCTAACGGGTAACCGGGGCTCCGGCTCGACGTGCTGAAGAAGGAACGGGGATGTTTTTAGTCAGTAAGAGTCTGACACTCCCTCCCGCGTCACCCAGGCGGGAGCACACATTCGATGATTTTCCCCCCTTACAAAAAAAAATGTGGAGCAACGTTTTTATTTTTAAAAAATGGTCGTTTCTGATGGATGGAATGATTTCTTTTTAATTCGTAAAGTGTTTTAATTCGTTTTTTATGCTTAGTTCTTTAGTGAGATACTACAGCCGGTGCCGGTTACAACCATATTAAAGAAATTTGACAAAATCGACATGGAATGATAATTTAGAAACTTGTCACTAGTCCGTTTGTAACTGGACCAAACCATCCATAAAATATAGTAAACGATTTATTCACAAAACAATATCATTGTGTTTATATCCATTGTTATTCAATGATAAAAATATAATTCATATCCGTTGGCACATATCCAATGTTTCGACTTTATCTAGCGTGCACAACGGGCCTTCATGCGAGAACTTGATAACATAAACAAAAGTATAGGAGAAAAGTCGAACGCTTTGAGAAAATCATTTGAATTTTTCTTTGCATTATATTATGATGTGAGTGCGATGAAGATTGATTTATAATCGTTTATATTGTGTCAGTTATTGGTGAAGGTGTTGATTTATGTTATTTGAGTACATTGTTGCGTATTTTTGGGCTGAAGTATAACAACATATCTTTGAATTTGAACTTTTCAGCAACAGCAGGAAGTTGTTTTTCGGTTGACAATCGGTTGGTTTTTTATAATAACTACCGTGAGAAATACTAGATTAACTAAAAATCGCTGGTTACTTATGTGTGTATGTGTAATACGGCCGCCAACGCAGACGCTGCTCATAAGGAAGAACCCATCTGTGGTTCGAAACTAGTTAAGCTTGTCTCAGTATATACATGTAAGTAACCCGCAATTTTTAGTTAATCGGTTGGTTACATTATGATCGGGAACGTTCTATGAACATATTGTTATGTTTTCGGCTTACTCACGTAATTATTTGACGAGGAACTCGAATAGTTTTAAGCCATACTAGAGGCTCATATTCATGAGCAGCATTTTGCGACACGCGACGCGGCGTTTTGTACCTTGTTCTATGAACAATTGACTTGACAGTGTATGAAAAAAATACCACTCCATATATCTTTGAGAAACAATAAGAATTGTGGTGATATGTCATTAGTAAAAAAATAGCAGGATACTAACTGAATTTTCTGTTACAATTTTATACGAATTTATTATAGGATAAAATTCATAATCTTCTTAGAAGCATTGAGAAAGAGATCTTATCATCGTTCAATAAAACTTGATTTCTTATATCAAAATGTTTGTTGCAGTCGGACCAACGTTACAAGCGAAGTATCCAGTGGTGATCTTCATTCATGGAGAGTCCTTTGAGTGGAACTCAGGGAACGTGTATGACGGTTCCGTCTTAGCCAGCTATGGTGGTCTCGTCGTCATAACCATCAACTATCGACTTGGTATTCTAGGTAAGTACATATTTGGCGATTTTTGAAAACCGTCTTTATTTTACCTTGAATGTAAGATTCGGTTTTGGCTGAAACTCGAATGGTGATACGTCCTTTTATAAAGATATCATAGATTTTAGTTTAATACCAAGAACTGAACTGGTAAATCTGATACGGACGACTATTTTAAAAAAAATTCAGGACAATGTAACGAGAAATCTACTTAAATATTATGTGAATTAAAATTAATTTAATTTGACAGTCCATATGAAGCGTGATTAAAAACTAGAAGAAGTGGGAGAAGTCAGGGTATGATTGAACCCCCTCAAATCAAGTCGGTTGAAAAAAGAACAAAGTATTGTTTACTGATTCCTACTATTTATAAAAGCATTGTTTTCATATCTGTTATTTTTGTTACATAATAATTTTCCTAATTAAAATATGATTGATGTACTTTACTGCAAAGTTAAGATTCTTTGAAAATTAAACTCTATAGTTATATAGTAGCAACAGATAATATTTTTGACTGTCATATGTTAAATTATTTTAACTTCTTTGTGGCAAAAGGTAATTTAAGTCTGTCTATCTTGCCATTTGTGGAAAAAGACGAATCGACGTACACGGGTGTTAGCAATACCGTCCAGTTTTACCCTTTGGGCGCGGAACCCTAAAAACAAAAACCTCAATACCTTTGTTGTTTATTTTCACTTTGATCGGTTTACCCCTTTTACCTTGAAAAAGAAAATCTTCAAAGGAAATGAAAATCAAAAATAAATAATTTTCATTCTGTTTTCTTAGAATTTGATAAATGTTTTCTTTGTTACTGAGATATTGTGTACAATAGAGCTTCTTATTCCATCAAAGTTATCTTGATTTTAATAAATTTTATTTATTTCTTTGTTTTAGTTAGGGCAGAAGGAATTTAATTAATCTTGACTTTGTAATTTTATTGAAACTAGGAAATTGTTTTGTTTGTTTCCGATTCTTAATAACAATTAATGCGTCTTATAAAGACACATACAACAATTCACGCCTGTTTCCCATAAGCGTAAGCAGAGACTATGGAACGCCATATGCTACATACAATTCTTACATTTTTTTTACTTCCTCAATAGTCAAAAACTTTCTCTATATTATACTAAATTACTTTATTTTTATAAAAAAATGTCTAAGTTTTGTTCTAGTTCTAAGAAAAATGGTGTCAGACTACTCAGTCTACAGACATTTACAGACACTATAAAAGTCAGCTAACCCAAGCTGGTAAAGTAATGAAAAAATAATTTCTATTATAAAAAAAAACTAAAAATACCTTTTTTTTTCCTTTGACTGGCGACAGAAAACTGCTGAAGGCAAATCCTCCGCTATCGTAGGTCACTGGTGACCTACGCGGCGGTTAATGTGTTAATCACAAATTTATTATCAAGGTTTTACCAACAGGTTTCCTAAACGCGAACCCCATACCGCATCTAAAAGCCCGAGTAGCAAACTATGGGTTGATGGACCAGATAGCAGCTTTACACTGGGTGCAACAAAATATCGCCCTGTTCGGAGGTGACGCTGGTAACGTCACTATGCTGGGCCATGGTTCAGGAGCCGCCTGCATCAATTTCCTGATGATATCTCCTACTGTTATGCCAGGTAAGCACCTATTTGAAACAATTTTAGCCGTATTCTCAGGTGTTGAATCCATGTTACAATTACCAAAATTGGCCAAAATCGGTTTTTTCATTATAAATGGTCGTTTGAGCAAATAAGAATATTTGATTTATTTATCGGTTCGGGCTTATGGAAGTGATAAAATCTCAATAACAGCACGTGGTTTCAATATGGTAAATAACTGCCTACCTCTTCAAAGAAAATTAAGACGTTGTGTTGTATTCTGTGAAGTCTATAAGCCTTATTATTTTAAGGACATCTACATCCCTAAGATTTAAGCAAATAACTTTTTTCATTAGTTTAAATCTACAAAGTATGTCCGAATATTTCGATAACTCAGGGTTCTAAGTGGTTATACTTTTTTTAAGCCAGGTCCCTGTTTTTTGCAAATCATACCTACAGAACCTTAGTCAGACCTTCGCAACATATTACACAACCACGAGTCCTCTCTGTGGGGTATATTACCTGACCTTTTTCAAAAACACCAATAACACGATAAGGTCGTTGTGTGTCCTTCTAGGCCGGTCCTTGCTGAGCCTTCTATTGACATTTCCATCCTTAGAAGTCCTTTTTTTAATCGCTTGCCCTACATTTACTCCATAGATACGTTTTGTCATACGAGGTAAAATGGAGAAAAAACTATATGATAAAATTTTCGATAGAAATATTCTGTGTCTGGTCTGAAATTGCTGGTACTATAAAATAATATTATAATAATATAGCCCTTTATTCAGATTACATTACGTTACATTTACATTTAAAAGCAACTTAAAGTTAAAAATTAATCTATTATTTGTTGTTTGGTGATCTTTTGCTGATCTGTTTGCCAATCAGCAAAGGCCTCTTCCAACCTTTTCCATTCTGTTCTTACTTAAGCCACTCTGTTCCACTATACCTGAAATAAAAATCTTTCCCCGTACCAATTCCTTCTGCAAACGATTTAAAAAAATCGATCCTAAATTGATAGTTACACATTTCAATTTGCACTGCACAAACGTAGTGCAAAGTGTTCGTTTGCCCAAAGTAATCATCAGTCGCCCGACCTGTATAAATTCAGCAAAATTGAACCCAAAATGTATTCCCTCACTTTTACAATTAGAGCACTTTTGGGATTCCAAATTTATTCCAACGTGCAAACTAGAATTTTCAATGAAATTGCCTATTACGATCGATATGCTATTTTTCGGGAACTAGGAAAGCTTTAGAGTTGAATATTTATGATAGGGTTCGCATATAAAAGGGAAAATGGTCCAGGATTAAAAAAGTTTAATAAAAATACGAAGGCAATAAGAATAGACTTTAGTTTTTAACTTCTTTCTTGGTAATAAAATTGTAGGCCGTTGCTAAAAGAGCAGGTAAATGTAAAAGTAAACTAAACGATGTTTTAATTAAATCTCTGGGTAGTTAAAACGTGGCTCTTAGTCTTTTAATACTCTTGAGACTTTACCTTTCAACTAAAGATTACAAAGGAACTTGGGTAAAAGCTAGGATCCTAGTTCTTTATGTCTCTGTTGTTGCCTTGATTGCATTCTGCGTTTGCTTTTTCAATGAAAAAATTAAATTTTTTATTCTAACGTCCATTTTATCTTTCTAATTAAATTTCTTTGTAATGGAAGTTTTTCTTAAAACTGTTCAGTTGAAGACATTAACGTACTTCGCAAAAATGTTTTGTAGTAAAATGAAGTAAATTATGAAGACGTTTAACAACCAACTTTGTTACAGGCCTATTTCACCGTTCGATCCTGCTATCAGGGTCAGCATTAAGCTCATGGGCTCTTGTCGAAGACCCAGTCAGTTTCTCCGTCCAATTAGCGAAACAGGCTAACTGCACGCTTCCAGAAGACATTGTAAAAGACCATGAGCTCATAGTAGACTGCCTAAGAGAAGTGCCACTTGACGAACTAATGTCTGCAGAAATCAGTACACCAAGTTACTTGACAGCATTCGGTCCATCAGTGGACGGTGTCGTTGTCAAAACTGATTATGCAAAAGAACTCTTAACATTTTTCATTCCCAATGATCTTCAAGGTTTTTCGAGTGTGTCAGGAGTAAACAACATGAAGGCTGATAAAAGAAGTGGAGAAAGGATGTTTGGGATAAGGGGAGGTCAGAATAAGTATGATCTCCTCTTCGGAGTCGTCACTAGTGAAGCGCTGTGGAAATTTTCCGCACAGGATATACAAAATGGGTTCGAAGGCGAACGAAGGGATAGAATAATAAGGTAAGGTCGATGTTTATTCAGTAAATTGATGTTTGAACGGTATACGGTCATGGAACGTTTTCTTGTGAATAGGTTGTCATCAAACGTATTGGGTAGTGGAGTTGGATAGCGAAATATTTTGAAGAATTTATTGAAAAGCAGATCGATAGTCACGTAGATGTGTTATTGGAATCGTGAAATATTATTTCGTGGTACCGAGTACTAGAAAATGTTACATAATGTAACATGTTTACCAATATTTTCGAATAAACATACTAGTCTAGTTCAACTTCATTATTATTAAGTGTACGGTTCTTATTTCCATATTGTGTTAATAAAATAGGGTTCATCATAATTTTATTGGAGATACATACATACATTAATACAAATGAATGGGTTCAAAGGAGATCATTATCACAGAAAAGTATTATATAATTTTTTTTGTTAAACTGACTCCAAAGACTCATAAGAGCTGTACCTTTCTTGATATAACACGTCAAGCCACATGTAAGATTCAGTTTTCATTCCTTTCCATCTTAAAGAAATGCCTTCGTTACACAGAGCGTAACTGACGAAATACGTCTATTTTACCTACGACCCAAGTACAATGGCCGCGATGAGAATGAGCGTTATAAATCCACATTTTAATGTGAATGTGCAACTCTCTAGCGTTTCCCTTTGATGTCTTTCAACAGACAAATTACGGGTTTATTCATCACAAAAATACGAGGTTTTTAATAAAGCTGAAACAACGGTCTTTTGATGTTGTATTGTATGCTGGGTGTATGATTAATTGTATCATTTTGATAGTCTCTGTATGGAGTTTGTTTAACAATCTCACTCTGATAGGATTATTAAATGCTTGTTGCTGGTGAAAAATTGCTTAACTGTAGGCAATCGCTATTTTGCTAACATTTTTGGGAATATTGTCTCTGTTGGTCACCAAAATATCAGTGAATGGGAATTAAATGAATATGATTTAGGTATAGTATTTTGTTTTTGAATTTATCTACCTATACTTATTTTTTCTTTGTATTAATTAATGTACCTATGTATTTAGGTATTTCATATTAGGTATGTTTACTTAGCTTTGGTTTATTAACCCCATTAAACGTAAAACACAATGTTCCTACCCTTCTTAACATTACAAAATCTCCAAGTCAACCGTCATTTCATTATTTTACTCCAAATTTTCTAGCAACGCAGCAATAAGATGTAATATTCGTGTTAGGGTTGGTAATACGAATGAAGTGAGACAGGTTATTGGGCCATTACCGTCTAGTGCCCGCAAGTATAACAATCCCACCCGATTTAGAGTTCCCTTACGTAATAACTATTGGGCACAGGTATTTCAATCGATATCCCTAGAATTGCTTCAAGGAAAAATATTTTTCTTCTACGTCGTATTTATTAATAGTTTTGCCTTAAGAAACTGTTCGGTTTCGGCTAAGGCTTTCGCAAACGTATTGTTAGATAAGAGGCGGTTTTACTCGCGTAGTTGGTAAATGCGTTGAATGGGGTAATTGTTTTCGAGTTATGGGTCTGGTAAAGTGTCTTCGAGATATTTCGTGAAACTGTTTTTCTCGAAGTATGGATGTACGACATGCTTAATAGGTTCTAATATTATGAAAAGGCCTATAATTATAATTGTTTATTCTTTGCGATTTTATTGTTATCTACACATAGGTATGGATTTTATTGACGAAACTGAATTATTTTTAGTTGAATTTCATAATAACGTTATTATTTTCTTATCGCCAAATTGTTTAGTGCTTGTAAACATTCATGTCAGTTAGATTATTGATCTATATTCTACCTCTATATTATAACAGTGGCTTTAAAAGTATCCCAATGTGTAACATCTATATATCTGTTTATGAATTCTACCAACATATTTTACAATTTAATTTTTTTTCTCCCTCTATTGTGAGAGTTGCTATTCCTTTGTTAATATTCCAAGTATTAATTACCTCATTTGTTTCAGGACTTACGTCAGAAACGCATACACATATCATTTGAGCGAAATATTCTTCACAATAGTTAATGAGTACACCGACTGGGAAAGGACTGTGCAGGTAATTATAACTTTATTTATTGGACCAATAATTTATTCACCACTGGCCTTTATTACTTGTTCGTTCACATTATTGGGACTTTAATGTGAATTTATTTATATGGAGGTGACATTATTCTTGTCAAATATTTGATGTTTGTTGATAATATTATGTGTGGTTGAAAGTTATGATTCATTTTGTGTGAAAGGTAATTCATGAATGATATTTATAACCAAATTCTAAATCGGATCGATGTCTGATAGAAATTTATGAAAAATATTTGGAATCAAAAACAATAATTGAATAAATCATTACCAAAAATTAACTACGATGTGTCGTGGTGTCCCGGATTACATGTATACATGCGGGATCGAAACCTACTTACAGCAAATACCTACCAATGTGACTTTTTTCGAGTTATATGTACTTTCTAAGATTCTTTAGACACCACCGACAAACGTTGAAGGAAACCTGGGCTTATTATTACTAATCATAAATTTGAAATCGCCAACCCACAATGAGCAAGCGTGGCGATTGGTGCTCAAAACCTTTTCAGTGTCTTTGCTAAATAGTCTTTGCTAACAGTAGGAACTTATAGGATGTTGTTGACTGAATTAGAATACAAATATTTTGAAAGTAAGATCGGTTATAAATTTTAGTCGTTCTAGGGATAATCATTCTATAAATCTAGTTAAAAATAATATACCTGGCAAGTTCTAAAACCATTTGTAACAATAAAACTGTCTAATCCTGAATCCAGTACACAAATAATAACTACGTCAAAATTCACTCATTTATACGACTCAAACTTGTCTACATCATCTATCCATCAATCGAATTTCATGAAACAACGCCTACAGCTGCACCGACTTGACCCACATGGGACTAGGTGACACACGCTTATAATGATTTGGCAGGGATTTCAAAAGGCTTGGCATTTGCCTCTAAATTTCTCTCACTGCCAAATGGTCACTGTTTCCTAGTTCAGACGACATATTGATTGCCCCAAAGTTTACTAAATACAATAAACTTTTGAATATTTTCTTAACTGCTTATGTTATTTGTATTGATTTTTTTTCACTATTATTATCATCACATTTGTTTGTCGTTTTATAAGGTACGTACCTATTAGAATTACTAGTATTGTAATTTGATTGTTTGTCCTACCAACATAACATTTTGAACATCTGAATAGGTGGCAGTATTATGATACTAATAATATTTTCCACATATACAGGCCTCTGCTCATGATCATTTTGAAGATAAATGGTATTATGCTATAGAGTATTCACCGCCAATCAAAAGATCATAAGTCCAAACACAACCCTGCTAATGATTGTGGTGGACTTACAAATATTTTACTCGAGAATTTCAATGGAATTTTAATAAAGGCTTTCTGTTTATTGATTTGAGTTTCAAGCTAAATAGGATTAGTTATGTTACTGGTAGCCAGTTTAATGTCTAACACTTAATTTATTTTTAATCCTGTTCTGATACTTATTTACTTGACGTTTTAGAAAATGATCCTATTAATTATCTCTTTGAACGTCATCTCACCCCAACCTTTTTCTTCATACAATAGGCATGGCGACTATTTTTTAATTTTATGTCCGTCTTTTAGATATTCTAAAAATCTTCGATACGTATTTTTTCTTTTTTCTCGTATCCAAAAAAACATGTAGATATTTTGAGTTAAAATGACGCGTGACGTCACACTTAGGTACGATTTCTCCGTAAGTGTGACGTCAACACCCCCCACTCCCTAACTTTAATGCGGAATAACTACGTATTCTTCTGTTAATTTGATAAAACAAAAAATACGTGTCTGATATTTTAGTGCGATCTTAATGACGGACTAATTACTTTTTTGATTTTTTTACCCTGTCGACACGCCTATTCCTCACAATATCAATGAAAGTCTGTTTCTGTGAATCTTTCGAAAAATCCTTTTTTTTGGTCCCAAAAAAGCTTACCTGCCAAATCCCAGTTTTCTACAATCCGTCTTTTCGGCTGTGCCACTTCAGGTAATCAATCACTCAGTCACGGAAGAATTTTATATGACCTTGTGTTGCACATGCTGTGTTGAACTGCTACAGTACTCTATATATAAGTGCCAATACTTCGTCTTGTCTTTGTAGTGAAGAATAGTATATAAAACAAAGTCTATTATTCGCTGTCTGTCTGTACCTATGTATGCTTAGATCTTTAAAACTACGCAACGGATTTTGATGCGGTTTTAATAGATAGAGTGATTCTTAAGGAAGGTTTATGTATAATACATGCATATTACACCCGTGCGAAGCCGGGGCGGGTCGTATGAAATAATTATAATACGAATAACATTATGTTTCTTTTTTTCTTGTTTCGCAGTATTCATATACAGTATTCACTGACTAGCTCAACCCTCGGCTTCGCCCACGTTCTCGTACGATACAAGTAGCCTATGTGTTACTTCAGACCATAATGTATCGGTGATCCAAATTCCATTCCGATCCCTTCAGCCGTTTTGGCGTAATTGAGTAACAAACATACAGACAAAATTTCGCATTTATTAATATTAATAAGATTGATTCATAATCATTTAATAATGCGTTCAGGATGCTGATGGGGCTGCCGCGGTACTGTAGCGCCAGTGGTATGTTCGCGGAGGCGCGCGTGGACGGCTTTCACGCCATCATACGCAAGCGAAGTGCGTCTTTAATGGCGCGGGTGCGCGGCAGCCCCAGCGCCATCCTGGCCGCGTGCGCAGTCCGATGGGACTCTGTACTAATGGCGCACTGTATAGGCCTACACGCTAAAGCGAATGTTTGATACATTTAATTTGTGTTGTTTTATTTCATTTTTAATTAAGTATGCTATTACTAACATAGGCTAAGAACATTATTACTAACAAATTATGGAAGCAATTATTCTGCAATAAATTTAATTATTATTATTATTTATAGTTAAATACAGTACAATAATTCTTAATTTCTCTTTTGTACCAGCACCCCATAAACACAAGAGATGCAGCAGTACTAGCATTATCAGATGCTCAATACGTGGCACCTCTGGTCCAAACTGGAGATTTCCTCAGTTCACCAGACACATCACCAAGGACATTCTTCTACGTGTTCGATTACCAGACGAAGGATGGGGATTATCCGCAGGTGAGGGTTAGAATGTTTTTATACTCTTTACTTTTGAAATTATTTTCATTACACTGTATCTCATCATCTATAGTTTGGTTAGTGTCAATCTGGTCATTTTCAATAGATGTTGAAAATATTCAATGAGTTAGAAATAGCTTCATAAATCGTAATTGCATTATTTCATTTAATCTAATAGTCTAGTTCGTACATAATTACCTAGCTCTATTAATTATTAATAAACAATGTATCGAATCTGTTCTATGTAAATATTTCTCTTTCATCTAAAACAATCGTATCATTTTGACAATTCACACAATATAGCAACGAAACGTATTTTCTATACTTACATAGATTTTTCTTACTTTCTACTATGAAATTGATCTTAAAAATATTATGTTCCATTCAATACACTCTAAAGTACAGCATGGGTTTCAGCGTACAATGGCAGTCTCTCAATAGTTTTCTCTTAAACATTTTACGACTACAACTATTTATTACACATTACATTCTTTGAAAAATGAATGAATTCTATCATAAGATTCAACATTGTCACTTCAAAGCAAGGACGTTGGCAGCCATAGTTTTTTGAAACACCGACTATGGCACCTGGCTACTATAGACTTACATTCAGAATACACACACATTGATACAAAGGACATCTGTCATGTGACATGACCCGCCATCACAATTAATTTATTACGATGTTGCATTACACGCACACATAAAAACACAAAAGACATTTTGGTGCTTCAATCATGTCATAGTAACTTTACAGCAAAGCAAGTAAATCAAGGACATTGAAATAAACGCCTTTACAGTATAAAATATATTTATTGTTCATATGACTCTAAATTAAATTCGATTATAGATATTCATTCAGCTATTAAATTATCATACTAATATCCCTTTATATTTCAGAGGATGGGGTCAGTTCACGGTGAAGAGCTCCCATACTTATTCGGGGCACCATTAGTTGATGGGCTCGGCCATTTTCCGAGAAACTACACGAAGTCTGAAGTGGCTTTGTCAGAGGCATTCATACTTTATATGGCTAATTTTGCGAGGACCGGGTGAGTTCCACCAAATGTTTTGTTTACTCATCTGAGAATTGGTTTGTTAAATGCTCAGTTCGTTTATTTGAACGAGCGTTATTTGTTTCGTATTTTGAGGACATCAAAGTTCGGTTCCATAGCTCAACTAGGGACTATTCATATTTTGTAATCGTTTGCGTTTTAAGTCCTTTCAAAATTTCAGTTTGAAATATATGGCATCAAAATATGTATTTATCAGAAACCTATGGAGCTAATATTATTATAGTCCGCTTTTTGTATTATCTCAAAATTATATTAAGTGTACAATGGTCCTGGGTTATAGCAATAAGGTAGATGATCAATTTTTATTTTAATGTCCATCTGGTAGAGTATTTAAAAACATTAGACACGTATTTTATATTTTCTTACGGAAACGAATAGTTTCGAAGATATATTGATTTGAAATATCGCATGACGTCACTTTTGAGTATAGTTTATACTCTAAAATGAGGTAGCTACCTCCCACTCCTAAACTTCGATTCGTTTCATCTAAGTATTGTTTTCTTATACGACAAAATAAAAAAATACGTGTCTAATATTGTTTCATTACTTAACTGACGGACTAATTAGATTTTTAATTTTCATACCCTGTCATCATCCCTATTGTCTAACTTCTCAATACACACTGAAACTACCAAGATAGCTAACGAAAAGTACATGTAGTCCAGATTGCACTGAAAACAAAGGAAGATATCTAAATAATATAACAAAGATTGCTAATGTAATTTAGACTAATATGCAATTTTCACAAACAAAATAACCTTTATTCTCTGCGCAATACAGTATACTTTACCATCATTAATTTGATATAGTCTTTATCCTATATCCTTATATGTATAATACATAGTCTCTTAATGGACTGTCAGTCACAGCGGTCACTGGTCAGCACTTGATGCAACCACACCATCGCCGTCATCCATTATAACCTGCGAAATGTGAGGTCGAAAATATCGTACTTTGTGGTCAATTCATTATTTTGATAAATTATTCATTTAATTAATACGATAGTTATTTATGGATTTCGTTTAAAATTTTAAAATGGTTTGTGGCCAAATATATACAAAGATACTGTTTACAATACTATGTTAACAGTCATAGTCATATAGGTACACTTGGTCATGTCTATCTCCCATTTGGATAGTGACAGAAAGTCACTATAAATGAAACGATTATGACAAATTTCATTTTCTTTAAGAATATTTTTATGAATGCTCATTAGTCAAAGGAGCTTTTTACATAATATCACGCCTTTTACCCCCGAAGGAGTAGCCATGGGTGCATATTACGGTACTTAATGCCACTGTACAATGTAACACCAACATTTCCCTATTTATGTCATGAGTCCCATGTAATAGGGGGTGAGTCTATTGCTATACACACGTTTCCAGAGTTCATGCTATTACTGAGGTTTTTAAAACCCAGTAGTACTTTGCCCGACACATTGTAGAACATACTTTTTTAAAAAGAGTTTCCTACTCGTTCTTCTCCATTCGAATCTACTTTTTGGAATGAGCACCTAGCTTTACCTAGTTTCACTGACAGACTGACTGACAGACTATTATTTATTTTGTATTTATTGACGTTTCAAAAGTACCAAACTATGGTTTAATTGAAATAAATGCTTTGACTTTGACTTTGACCCGATCCGGGAATCGAACCCGAGACCCCTTGCCCGACAGTCGCACTGGTGACCATTCGGCCAATGAGGTAGTCTTTATTGATGAGGAAATCTTTACTTGATCTTTTTAATCGTCACATAAATGGTTGACGTTATAACGAATGGCGTCGACAAGCGACGACGTATACTGACTTAACTTAATGCAAATTTTGAGGCTGCTCCTAAAATTAAAAATATTAAAGTACATAACTCAGAACCACAAACAACAAGCAGGTTACTGTTATATAGTTCCTAAATACATGTTTACCTACATCAAGAAAACAAAATCAATACTAAGCTTTACGTTAAGCGAAGTAAATCAGAATTGCGTGCGTAGTAAATCCATATCGGTCACACCACTTAGCGTGAACATTATTTCTCACAACACCGCATTAGTCTGGACGAACAAAAACAACAAAATATTTTATCATTATATTATTTTTTCTTTAATAAGTAAAGTGGTGATTTTTTTCTAGTACCTAATCGCAGATTTTTAGAAACGATATTTCGATTTGTAATTGGGTTGTTAGGTGTCTAAATTCGCAGAGCATATTTATATTAATAATTTCGTCAAGGGGTACGGTAGACTCGATCGAAACATTACCTGAATAACAAAACATAAAAAATATCGATTACGAATCGACAAAATAATCGAATTACGGAGATTATTTCGTTTTATTAATTCATTTTAATGACACTGATAGACGAACCGCAGTCGCCATCTTGAGTAGACAATAAACGTTCCGATTCATACTAACTCTCAAATACGCCTCGCCAATCAACACGTTGTGGCGTCAAAAAAGTATAAATTAGCAAGAAATATGAATAATTTCACGCGATCGAAGTCGCGGATAACAGCTAGTATTTTATATATTTGCTATACTCTCTCGAATATATAGAGGAAGCATAACGGTCTACCAGTGACCTGTTACAAGTAGTTGATGTTTCATCTGTCTAAATAGTCAGTGGTAATAAATCACATATTATAAATGCTTCGATCAATTTCGATCATGGTGACAAGTCTAACTAGACTAGCCCATTACGCAGGAGAATTATTATATTGCAGTAGTATACAAACACATAGTACACTCTTTGTTTCCTCACTCCCTGAACCTGGTGGGACGGTAGCTTAACACGACCGGATAGAGATTAGGCGCAGGACCAACGGGCTTTACGTGCTTTCCGAGGCACGGGGGTGAAACACCGCCGAACTTCTCCGGGCTAAAATGGCAATTTCAGTCAGAAAATGCCATTATCACTTTTTGCCCGGTGCAGGAATTAAACTCACGACACGTTGCACAGCAGTCAGTTACCCAACCACTGCGTTAGTCACATATTATGTGACATGTGGGACCAACTAGATATATATAACCCAACAGCTAAAGAAAAATTTTAGCTTATTAGCGTTTAGGGATACAAATGACATTTAGTATAACCTCGATTAGATGAACATATCAACAGAATCAAAAGGTTTACTCTTGACCAAACTATAGTCAAGTAATATTTTTTATCGCTCAGTAGTTTCATCGAAAGTGTTGCCATAACCAAATTAATGGACTCCAGAAAACTATACCGATAATGCATCGAACATGTTTTAACGTTATCGAAAAAAAGTTACCATTTTATGACGAGCATCTAAAAACGTGTCGATATTTTATGGCAACATTTTACACCGACTATGGCAACTTTAGTTACGTGCAATAACGAGCGAAATATGTGTGAAGCTATCGAGAATTAATTTCAAACTACATACATACATAACCTCACGCCTGTCTCCCTTGGGGTTTTTTTTTAAGGGGTGAAAATCATCGAATGACTGCTCCCGCCTGGGTGAGGCGGGAGGGAGTGTCAGACAAGAGTCTGACTAAAAACCACCCCGTTCCTTCTCCTGCACGTCGAGCCGGAGCCCCGGTTACCCGTTAGGTTCTCCACGAATCCGAATCCCTTGGGGGGTAGGCAGAGACTATGGAATGGCAATTGCTACGATTCTTACATAAGATTTTATTTATTTATAGTAGATAAATAAAATTGGTATTTTTTAGTATTTTACATTATATTATGCTAAAGAATATTGGCATTATGTCTGCTTTGATAAAACCAATTTTGTTTCGTATTTCTAAAACAAACATATAGGCCACATAACACGAGGCCTTCCTCTATTTTTTAAATTAAATCTTTCTTTGATAATAGCTTATGATTGGTAATCATCCCTATGTCAATATTATGATATCTTTTAATTTCTTAGTTAGAACAACTTTTTACAATTTCGAGTCTTATATTAGTAATAAAAACATAAGACTAAAACAATTCTGGACTCTTCTATTTTACATACGTGTGTCCATGAAAAAAGTAATAAATCCTTTCTAAGAACTAGAAAATACTGTAACTGTAAAATAGAAAATAAGACTGCCTCGTTGGCCGAGTGGTCGCAAGTGCGACTGCCGGTCTCGAGTTCGATTCCCGGGTCGGGCAAAGTATTATTGGGTTTTTTAAATCTCAGTAGTAGCACGGAGTCTGGAAATGTGCCCGGTATATGGCAATAGGCTCACCCCCTATTACATGGGACTCGTAACATAAAATAGTGAAAAGTGGGTGTTACATTGTACAATGGCATTAAGTGCCGTAATGTGCACCTCTGCCTACCCCTTCGGGGATAAAAAGGCGTGATGTTATATTATGTTATGAACTAGAAAATATTATCTTTAAATTACGACCAACTAAGTACTAACGACTAATATCGAGTTCTGAATTCAAATGGTTTTCCTAATAAAACAGCAAGTCAGGCTTTCCTCATAAATGAGTTTTCCTCATAGAGTTAGCTTGAATTACAATTATTATGCTTCAGTCGATTTAGTAATAGTTGGTTAATTCCATGAAATAAATCTTTTAGCACAAGTTTAATCTCCATATTGTTTCTGAGTATTTCAAAATGTATACGAGATACGTATAATATCCAGTAACTTTGCGAAAACATTATGGTTAATTAACAAACTTAATATAACATCACGCCTTTTATCCCCGAAGGGGTAGGCAGAGGTGTACAATAAGTCACTGTACAATGTAACCACCCACTTTTCACTATTTATGTTATGAGTCCCATGTAATAGGGGATGAGCCTATTGTCATATACCGGGCACAATTCCAGACTCCATGCTACTACTGACTATTTTTTTTAAAAACCCCGTAATAATTTGGGCGACCCGGGAATCGATCCCGAGACCTCTTGCCCGGCAGTTGCACTTGCGACCACTCGGTCCACGAGGCAGTCACATTTCTATGTATAACATTCTCTATCAAATTGAGGCAACGTCCATTACAAACTTACTACCCATAATGATATGGCCACGGTAGGCTTTCGCCAACCGTGGCCATACCCATTGTGTCGTAAGTTCGATTAGTCGGCGAAACTACTCTTTTTGTGTGATCGACAAGTTGTTGTTACGAGTCTGGGTGTCATGTATATATTTTTAAAAGAAAAAAAAATGAAAACAGTACTTTGTTAAACCTAGCGTTGTTTTACGTAGGTTTTCTGTGAGGCCATGATATCGATATTCGCGCATGGCTCTCTGGCTCTCTCACACTTGAATTTATATATCTATGTAACGTAACCAAAAATTTAACAGAACCTGCTGATGATGTCGTCGCAGTTTTAGAAAAACATAATGTAGTGTGTACTTAGATAGATTTCGTATTTTTGATTTCATTTATGTATTTATATTATTTTCAGCCATGATTGTTTCACTGCAGGGCAAAGGCCTCCCTACCCTCCTTCCACTCCTCTCTATGTAAAGCTTTTTGCGGCCAATCCTTGTCATAGATATCCAGTACGTCCCGCCATCTCCTTTTGGGCCTGCCGCGACGTCTATTTACGTTGAGTGGGCTTCACTCAGTAGTAGTATTTTTGATTATCGAACTAAAAATATAATCATTCCCATTTATAACATTAGCTGAATGAAACTAAAAACCTATCACAAGCCTCGCTGAGTATATTTCAGTGTTTCCCTGAACATTTTCCGACTAAACTTTATTTCAGTACCATTTGTTGTTTGTTTGTTTTGAATTTTAATTGAAATAACAGTTATTTTCCTAAACTAGTCGACAACGAAATTTTGGACGAAAATATTTCATTTATCATTATTGAAGTTCAACTATTTCGAGACAAGCAAGCTGTTCCAATCTGTTTTGAATAAAACTTGTAATGCTTAACTTCAAGTTTCAGTTTATCTGAATGATAAATTAATTTGGACGTGAATTTGCTGGAATTTTTTGCGAATTTGTCTTTGTTTTACAGAGTTAACGCTCAAATACTGAAACACACTTAAATATAGTTCTGCAACTACACATTCGATATATAAGTATATCTTTAAATATTATTTTTTTATATAAAACATTGCCCCACATGAGGATTTTCTCCGGTGTCGTGGGTGCGTTTACAAACATATACGTTCACATACACAATGCCACCCAGACCCGTGCGGGAATCGAACCCGCGACACGTTGCACGGCAGCCAGTCAACGCACCAACCGTGTAGTCTATTTTAAAAATTGGGTAGCCTTTCAGTATTTGGGCGTAAGTGACATAAGACTTGTAAACAAAAATAAGTTGTTAGTTATACGATCTCTTATATCTTTAGGTGGTTGTATTATACAGAAAGCTGTATAGCATTGACCATTTTTCTTTTTATATAATTTTTAATTTCAGGTTTGTATTGTTAAAGTTGTTGTTTTTCTATTTTTTTTCTCTTTCTTTAGAAATCCAAATGAGGTTCATCGCCAGGAGTCGGTACTACCAATATCAAGAGAGAGGAATAAGTACAAAAGCATCCTGTGGGACGAGTATGACACGTTGTATCAGAAATATTTGGAAATAGGTAAGCAGAAAAAGGCTGTGCTATTTTCATAGATATAAGTATCTTCGCTTTATTTCATTTAAAACTAAAGTAAATGGTAATATCGTCAAGTGTAGTCATCCAGAGAAAAGCCACAAATTTATTAGATATCAGTCTAAATTACCCATTCAAAGAAACTTATTATCATAACTCAATATAGCAATAAACGTTCTTATCAAAAATCTAATATCAGAACGTTATCTTCCCATTAAATCTACAAAAGACTTTTAATCTCGTTCACCTCACGACTGCGGCAATATCAATTTATTCCAAAAGTTAATTGCGTAGACCTTTTCCATTAGTTCGGGTCACACAATTTTATCCTCTGAAATGCCGTAACCCGTTACACAATCATAAATTCCATTGCAGGTATGAAACCGCGGATGAAAAACCATTATAGGGCCCATCAGCTGTCCGTGTGGCTTCGGTTGATCCCCGAAATCCACCGCGCAGGGATGAAAGACGTGGTTGCGAAACACAACCTTTTTAGGAACCACAACGATCCAGAGTTGTACGACGGCCTGGTCAGGCCGGACCCTCTCACACGCGCCAACTATTTCGATCCCACAATGGAGCTATACCGCAAACCGACCTACAACCTCACATTAGACATGCCCTCCACTACGATGGACACTTACGTCACGACGTGCATTAGTGTGATGTCCGCGCGACCAGGGTCCGCCGTCACACAGAGCCAAGTTCCAAACAATACGCACACACAGGACGTATCTAATTTGGAAGTGGCCGGCTATACTGCTTACTCCACGGCCCTCAGTGTAACTATAGCCATTGGATGCTCTCTTCTAATTCTAAATGTCCTTATTTTCGCCGGCGTGTACTATCAAAGAGACAAAACAAGACTACAAGTAAAAGCACTTCAGCAGCAACAGAAAAGGAATCATAACTCAACGTTCGATAGCGTATCGTCGAAGCATCCCCATTACTTCGTCGGGCATTCGCAGAGCTCGAGTACGATTGTCGACATCGATCATCAGGACAAAAACGCGATAATCGCAATGACAAATCGAGTTCCCCACTTCACTACAGCGAACTGCCCGAACGTTTGTCACACGGGGATACAAATGTCGAATTTGTCGCAGAAATCGAGCCCGCCAACAAATAGGGGACAATGTACGACTTTGCCGAGGAAAGTGGGGTTCAGTTATCAGCAAAATCAGATATGTAACGCGTCGAATTGTATGACGCTACCGAAGAACGCGACTTTTATGAGCAGTGCGGGGAATTTGCCTGACGTACAGGCTCAGACGGGGCAGTCTCAAGGGCCTGGGAACGGGTCTGTGCTGCCCCCTCCCTCTTCGCCGCCCTCTCAACACTTCTCGCAGTCTCGCGTCCCTCAAGCAGCGATGTCTGAAATGAATGTATGAGACATGGAAGATATTTACAATTATGTGTAATGTGACCATAAAAACATTTAGTGTGTGTGTGTCACGGGACAAGCCATGGTTGTAAATATCGAATGAACACAGTGTACATACGATGTTAAATTAATGTAATATGTAATACAGGTAAAGTTTTAAGTATTCATAGACGTAATTGTAATTATAGGTTTCTGAATAAATTGACTTTTTTAAAACGATAATCCAATTTTTCAGAGATCGAAATCAATAAATCTGTACATTTTGAACATTTTTGTTAATCGTGTAAATAGCATTACTGTAATTTCATCGCCATTTTAAATGGATGACAGAGGTCATTTGTATGAAGATAAACTCGACAATCTTGTTATAATACGAACTGTAATTAAAGTTGTACATACAGATGAACTACACGAACATGTCGCCACGGGTCAATCAGAGCATGCAGCAGAATTAACAAACAAATTGTTACTTCACTTAGTACTGTCATTGAAAATGACTATTATTGTAAATAAATTAGAATCTTAAAGACTGTATACTTAAAATAAGATACTTTCAGTTCAAAGAGCCATGTGACACAGATCATTAACTTCATTGTTGCAGAAGAATTACTTGGGAATGTTAAAATGCCGGCGGCATTAGGAAGTTTTTAGGGCTGCGAATTATCTTTATTTTTCCGTCTAAGTACGTGCTTGGAAGTTTCTAGAACAAAAAAGTAATTTGTTTCATTTGCACGAAGAACCTAACCGAGTATTAAATTGAGTATCTAGAAAACGAGAATTTGTAAAATAAAATAAATACGAGCGATGAAGAAGCTCTCACAAATTTCGTTGATTTATTTATTTGTTTTGAGTTGGAAGATGTTGAATAATGTAGTGCGTTATTTAAATTATCTTACATTTTCGTTTCAATATTTTTTTTGAACTGTTTCGTAATGATACTCTTGTTGATATATTATGTGGATTAGTGTCTTTTTCTTATTCATCGGCGAATAAGTCATTCATGATTGAAGTTTTTTTTAGTTTGTCTTTGATAAAATATTACTTAAATCGATTTCAATAGATTGGATCTAATAGATAGGAGATACTGCTGATCGTTTAGTCTCAGACATGCGTACCGTTTTATGCAATGGAAAAATTTTGTTTATATTTGATTGCACGGTTGGTGCGGTGGCTGGGCAACCGGCTGCCGTGCAACGTGTCGCGGGTTCGATTCCCGCACGGAACAACACTTTGTGCGATCCACAAATTGTTGTTTCGGGTCTGGGTGTCATGTGTATGTGAACTTGTATGTTTGTAAACGCACCCACGACACAGGAGATAATCCTAGTGTGGAGCAACGTTTTAAAAAAAATATATATAACGTAGGACGAATATTATCACTGTGAATTATGGATGTTTCCTACGCATTCACGAAAGATTAGGTGACCAGATCTGACGGACAAGTTTATCCTAGTAGTTACAGGTCCCTATATATTTATTGAAAAAACAATGCTACCTATTTAGTATCAAATAATTGAAGACCTAATATTACCTTCAAAGCGAAATTAGAACAGACATCACTGTCAAATATTTTGATAAAACAAAACATTTAGTTGAAATGGCTCAAAGCCAATTACACAAAGCTTGGCTCCAGCCATTCTGTTACCTTTCACTCATAAATAAACTGTTGGAAGTTATCGTGAACGAGCGAACAATCCTGATTTATAGATACGCTTACAAATCCCCTTTTAAAATAATCGCTTTCAAACAATACATGATTAAAATGTTCCACGAAATGTATTTACTGTTTTATGTGGAAGAAAATCGTTTTGAGATAATATCTACAGATACATGAGAAGTAAGAGTTTGAACTGACACGATAAAGAGGTTGTTCTGACTACGGAACATATTAAAATGACAGGTGTAATTTTCATATTGTTTTTTTAACATTCTGCACTTTTTTTTTTAAACTGTCAAACACCAAGCGGTCACCGGTGACCGCAACCTATTGTTCTATAATTGAGTCTACAAAACCGGTACTCGACGAGTTAAGGGGCAAAATCTTCGAATGACTGCTCCCGCCTGGGTGAGGCGGGAGGGAGTGTCAGACTCTTACTGACTAAAAACCACCCCGTTTCTTTTCCTGCACGTCGAGCCGGAGCCCCGGTTACCCGATAGCACTAGGATTTGTTCTGTGTCATGATGGGTGCGGTTGCAAATACAATCTATCCACCCAGTTTCCACGAAAGTATTATACACCAAACGACTCTTAATTCTAGACAAATAGTAAGTAAACCAAACAGTCATTAACGTAACTTTATATCCCGAAAGTAAATGAATAAACGCCAAAAGAATATACAACCAAAAAATAGAATCGTATCACAAACACCAACACAGACGAAACTAATTTAACTCTTAATAAAAAACTGTCCAATTTACTAACACAAGCATATTAGTCTACGCAGACTTCAAAGCATACTGTACATAAATATTTTTAGCAAAAACTGAGTACATTATCATATACAGGCGGATCAGTGAAAAATATATGAGAGAAAAAAAGAGGAAATATTTTGCGCAGCGAATCACAGAGGTTTTTAATATCAACACGCTGTTTATGAGGTCAGGAAATCTAGCTATAAACTAGAGGCTCGTTGAATAGCTTGCTCGGGTGTGAGTTTTCGAGGTCGGTAGTACCGTACACAGCTACACAACAAGTTACAATGTCCAGTATAAACTGACCTTCCAATGTGCGGGAAGGTTATACAAAGTAAGACCTTGATAAACTGGTGTACATAGTTCGATGTGTGTGGGTACACGTTACACTGAACCAATTTAGGACTCACGCATCACCTATTTTTGGCTGAGTTACGGCTCCGTGATAGGGAAATGTCGGTTTAGTACGGTTTTCTTACATGTGTAAAATATTTTTTTTTGTTTTTTTATTGAACGCTGTACGAAAATACGTAAGTTATGCTTGTTATGCTTCCTAAGATTATTTAGACACCTCTGACAAACGGTGAAGGAAAATATCGTGAGGAAAACTAAGCTTATAATTTCTAATCATAAGTTTAACCCTTTGAGTCCCGTTATTATAGACACAATTAAAGAACAATAGGTTGTGGTTACCGGTGTCCTTGCGGTGTTTGACAGTTTAAAATCGCCAACCCGCATTTAGCAAGCATGGCGATTATTGCTCATACCTTCTCCGTGCGAGAAGAGGTCTTTGGTCAGCAGTAGCCACTAGGTTGTTGATGATTTTAATGTTTGTTTTGTGTCTGTTATGTTTTTAATTATTTCAGGTTATGCGTAATTGTTAAAAACATTAAAAATATTTGTTATGAGTCCGTGATACTATGAAAAATCGTATATAACTTTTTTATAAAAAAATCATATACCTACGTTACTTTTGTCGACTTTATTTTTTTAAGCGGTGATTTTCGCGCCCTCTAATGACTGCTCCCGCCTGGGTGAGGCGGGAGGGAGTATCAGACTCTTGCTGTTATACTTACTCTTACGTTCCTTCTCCTGCACTTCGAGCCGGAGCCCCGGTAACCCGTTAGGTTCTCCGCAACACTTGTCGACTAGAATATCAATCAGATGAGTATTTTTTTTATAATCTGATAACTTCGAGTAGGTACATACTTTAAAAAAGGTGAACTATTTTTTTTCTAACAAACCGTCAGTGTTACAGAAGTTATTATAAATTCACCCAAAATGAAGCAAGTCTGTGTCACATGGACTCTGTTTTAATTATTTTAACTCTTGTTCTACGTTTTTATATTGATGTATATTTTTATGACTTAATGACTGTTGTACTATAATATCATCGTACGTTTTGGTGTAACGTGTATTTGGTTTCTTGACTATGACGTTAAAAAAATATTGTATTAAATAGACGCATAAATACTTCGATTTTTGGTTGTCTAATGTGAGTATTGCGGTATATAATTTTGTGTACATATTTGATTATTTCTTGTTCTAATAGGCGCATTCTTAAACGTTACCTATTTTTATAGTCTCTCAAAAAACAATCATAATGTGTCTGTCACTGTAAAAAGTTTCATAGTGACAGAAATACATTTTTAAATTGATTAGCGTTTGAGTATAAGCTCTTAAATTCGCTATAGTCCAGGAGCCAAAAACATTTTATGTTTAAGTAAGTTTTGTATCGAAATGTTTTTTCTGAATATAATTTGTGTAAAAATCATTATAATTATTAACTTGGTAATTATCATAATATGTTGGAAATTTATAAGATAACATGTTATCTAACCGTTACTATGAAATCTTATGACAAGTATCAAAATTAAAAAAATAAGACAGAATAAAATTCGTGATAAAACCTTTTTTTGGGATTTGTTTTATTTTATACTTGAAACTTAAACAGGTTATAAGATATTGTAAAAAAATATTAAGTCTTTATAAGTAATTTCCCATAACATTAAAGGTCATCCCACATTTAAAAAGCACGGCTTTGGCGCGGTTACCGCGCGCTCCCAACTAGCCAGCGGCGCGTGGCCGGCGCGACGTTGGCGCGGTAACCACGCGCTTCCAACTCTCGGGCGGCGCGCGGTCGGCGCGCAGTCGGCGTACCTCGAGTGGACCGCGCGCTGACAACCCGCCGTTGGCTTTTTGTTACGAAATGTATCATATGACAAACGATGTAAAGTTCATTATTTAAATCACAACTTAATGGCTGGGTTGGAGCCGTGCTTTTTAAAAGTGGGATGACCTTCACAGTTTAATTGCACATGCCCATGCCTCTAACATTTATATGACAGATACAGCTTTTACACAATAAATCAAATCAATATTATAAAAATCTATACCTAACTCGCACAAAAACAAAACCAAATAAATACACCAACCACGTGAGACCAACAAAACGAAACTTTTCTAAACAAAAATAAAAATGCCGACTACGTCTTTTCCTAAAGGACCAATATTCAAATAGAATGTAAAAAAGCCCGCAATGTATTAGGAACATTACGAAACCTTTGACCGGCTGGTGATCGATCGCCCATTGACCGGCCATGAACTCGGTACAGTTGGCGCTGAACTCGTAAAAATATGGCATTCATTTGTTTTATGGTTTCAATGCTAAATGAGTTTGTTATGGATATACCGAAAGGGTATGCAGCGGTGTTAATGCCCACTTTATACTAGTTATATTATAAATCTCACAATTAAGATATTTTAATTGTGATATTATTATATTGTAGGTATATCTACAGTTACAGTACAGGTTTATAACAGTCGTGGTGGCCTGGAGGTTTAAGACGCCCGCTTCTCGTGCATGAGGGTGTGGGTTCGAAACCTACGAACGGCAAGTACCAATGCAACTTTTTCCGAGTTATATGTACTTTCTAAGATTATTCAGACACCACTGAAAAACATCGTGAGGAAACCTGGACTTGTAATTTCTAATTGTAAGCTTGAAATCGCCAACCCGCATTGAGCAAGCGTGGTGATTAATGCTCAAACCTTCTCCGTGTGAGAAGAGGCTTTGCTCAGCAGTGGGTACTTATAAGCTGTTGATGAATAGGTATCTACTAGCTGCTGTCCGCAACTTCGTACACAAATTCCTGTTTCCTCTCGTTTCAATAGGATTTTCAAGATTTGTTTTCTGTCATACGAAGGTGCTCATGACAGAAAAAGAAAACCTTCGTTTTCGTTTTTCTTTTTCTAGAAGGTTCTCCTGACTATAACAGAAAAGATAGTGAAATCGGTCCAGTCGTTCACGCGTGATGGCGTGACCAAGAGATATAGAGGAAGAGAATGGGCTATATGTTACATTATTTACATGAGACCTCTTACTTTCTTATTTCTGCGAACAATTTCGAAATTTGATACCAAATAATACTTTTGCCGAGTTGGCCGAGTTGTCGCAAGTGCGACTACCGGGCAAGGGGTCCCGGTTTCGATTCCCGGGTCGTGCAAAGTACTATTGAGTTTTTATAAATTCTCAGTAGTAGCACGGAGTCTGGAATTGTGCCCGGTATATAGCAATAGGCTCACCCCCTATTACATGGGACTCATAACATAAATAGTGAAAAGTGGGTGTTACATTGTACAGTGGCATAATGTACACGTCTGCTTACCC